ACATTTGTGTCATTTGTTGTAGAGACTATCGGTCCGTGGGGTCCACGTGCGGTGAAGTTCCTAAAGGAACTCCATCCGCAACTGGTCGTTGCTGCTGGTAATAAGTGGGCTGGTTCTTTTATCGCTCAAATTCGAAGTACAGCCATTCAGCGGGGAAATGCAGCCAGCGTTCTTGGCACGATAACGCGGGGAGTAAGACTGTATGATAATTAAGTTACTATTTGTTGTTATTAATAAAGATCTGATTTTTTTTATAGGATAGGGGGACAAACGAGCACACAGTCAACCTGATAGTAAGTGGTTACTTTGACCCATAGACATCTACATCTATCCTCAATAAAGTATCAAAATGCAAATGCGTTGTCACCCGTTAGGACTAAGATGTACATTATGCCTCTTTTCCAGTAAAAAGGGTCTCCGGTTCTCTACACTCACCATACGAAACACAGCAGCATTAAGCTGCTATTTTACGCTGGTATTCTGTGAGAGCGTGGTCCTTCCCCGGTCGAGCCAACCCATTCGTGCTACAACTACACTACTAATATAGCTGCACCATGGCTCTACCACGTATATTAAACTTTTAATAAAAGTGCAAACTAACTTCACAAACTAAAATTAAATATAGTGTATTCCACTTAATAACTTCTGAAGTCGGTGCTGGTATCGAATAATTACGAGTAAAGTTCCGACTACAGAGGCTATTAAGTGGAAATTGTTCCATTTAAAGTAAGGTCCTTAAAATAAAATAAATTATGGATAGTGTAGCTTTTAAGGTCATGTCTCTATATCAGAATCCATTTATTATGATTTTACATGCTTACAATAATAATTGTTCTACGAATTAAAAAAAAAACTCCTATTACGTTTTATGTTAACAAATATAACGTCATTTTCAGGTCATAACGTCACGTTTTGTTTTTTCCAAAATAAAATGTCGCAAATATGTCATACTATTTATTAAGATTGTTAATATAATATGTAATTTGAATGACAGAATGAGAAATAGTGTGATAAGAGAAAAGTGTGGTTTGCAAGATGACGTTGTGACCAGGATTAAAAAAGGAATGCTTCGGTGGTTTGGTCATGTAGAAAGAATGGACGAGGAATGAGTGACAAAGCAAATTTATGTTTCAGAAGTGAACGGCAGAGTCGGGAAGGGACGCCCTAGACGAAGGTTTATCGACCAAATCGGCGATACATTGAAAATGGGCCAGATTAGTAGTACCCTTAACTGACGAGCGTGTATGCGTAGATATATAGATGTAAAGGAAGCGAGAGAGGTGTATCAGGTTATCGCGCCAAATGGAAGTCCGTAGTCTCTGCCTACCCCTCTGGGTGACAGGCGTGAGTGTTTGTGTTGTTGTGTGTAATGGCAACGTCCTTTAATATATTATCAAGATATTTTTTTTATATTTCATTTTGGATGAAAAATAATATAATCTTTGAAAAAATAATTGAATTTATTTAATATGTACTTACTAATAGTTGACCTCCAATAAACGAGACTAAGATGCCGCTATATTATACTTTCAATTTTTTTTTATTAAAAAAAACATGTTTAATTTAATAATAGGGACATCACATTTTAGAATCAAATTAAAAACAGCAAATATTAAAATGATATAAGTTAATGAATCAGAAATTCTCATGAAGATGTTCCGATGCTGCGCATCCAGATGTGGCGCACATTTAAGCCCCCTCCTCTCGGTTCTCGGAGCTCTTCACCCCCTCTAAGGGAACAACTGAAAAAATCGGAGTCAAAGTATAAAAACCGAGACCCTTAAAATAATAAGGTTAAAGTTCACTATATGGATAATCGAAATCGCATCACGGTAGCGACAAAAACAGTTTCGTGCGTTAGGGGCATTTTTCTGTAAGGTCATTGGCCCCATTTTATCATTTAAACGGTCTGTTAGACCTCTGTTTTTTGCTCTGTATATGAAATTTAGATGCTTTAACAGTAGCTTTAGGTAAATTTATAAACAAAAATCGTGCTGTTACACAGATTTTTTTAATCTTCAGCTATTGTAATTTTAATTGAAGTCAATTTAAAATAAATATTTTAGTAATAGGTTCTAGAAATGACGACACGCATTGTTCATATAGATGATGATTTAACATTATTCGTATGCTAATATTTTTATGAGTACTCCACAAAAAATACAGACAATGATTAGACATATATACAAAAATTATACGGCAAGTAGTGTTAAATATATATATATATATCTCTTTTTACTGAAGTGATAAACGAACTTACAGTCAGCCTGATGGTATGTGGCTACTGCCACTGCAACAAACTTCAAAGAAAAAAGGCTATGCGTTGTCATTTTTGAGGACTTAAATGAAATGCCTCATTGCCTATATTTATAACGGCTGTCTATATTATCTAGATCGGAGCATAGCAGTATAGGTTCTGCTATTAAAATAATGTCCTCCTCCGGACCGATTTTCGGTCACGGTCTGTGCAAGACAATATTATTGTGAGCATAAGCACAGGTGCAATCTATATTCCCTCACTCTCAATGTCTGATGGAAGTGGGATGGCTATTCGACATAACCGGAGAGAGGTCAGGCGCAGAACCAATGGTTTTAGGTGCATTCTGATGGGGCAAGACACCGCCAACTTCCTGACTACGGGCTGCTGCTGATAACTGCTTAATAGAATAGAATAGAATAGAATAATTTTTTACTCATAATTGATTACAAGTAATTCTTATTTAGTCACTTTTTTTCTTTACCACTCGTCCGAAAAAAATCCTCTGTCCTGGAAAGAACCAGCAAGAAACCCAGCGGGACTTTTTTTTAAATAATTTTTCTTAGAAAAATGTAATAACTAAAAAATTAGTTATTAATTTATTATTTATTACATTTTTATTATTATTATTATTACATATTATTTTTATTACATATTATTATTAATAACTAAATAATTAGTCCCGAGTTCAAATCCCAGATCGCCTTTTGGCGATCTGGGATTTGAACTCGGGACTTCGTGATCAGCAGTCGTGTTTAATATCACTAACGAGTAATATACGTTTCATTTTGAAACTTTATAATATATCATCATCATTACAGCCCTTCACAAGTCCACTGCTGAACATAGGCCTCCCCCAAAGAATGCCACAAAGCACGGTCCTGATCCACCTGCATCCATCGACTTCCTGCATGTCTTACCAGGTCGTCACTCCATCTCGTGGGGGGACGCCCTACACTTCGCCTACCGGTACGAGGCTGCCACTCGAGAACCTTTCTTCCCCATCGGTTCTTCTTCTTTCTTCGAGCTATATGGCCGGCCCACTGCCACTTCAGCTTACTAATCCGTTGGGCTATATCGGTTATTCTGGTTCTACTGCGGATATCCTCTTTCCTAAGTTTATCACGCAGAGAAACTCCGAGCATAGTCCTCTCCATAGCTCGCTGAGCGACCTTGAGCTTCCTCATACGGCCAGCAGTGAAGGACCACGTCTCAGTTCCGTAAGTCATCACTGGCAACACGCACTGGTTGTACAATTTCGTTTTAAGGTTTTGAGGTATGTCTGACGAGAAGATGTGTCGTAGCTTCCCGAACGCTGCCCAGCCGAGTTGAATCCGTCGATTGACCTCTCGGTCGAAGTTGGACTTACCTAGTCGGACTATTTGTCCCAGGTAAACATACTCGTCAACAACTTCGAGCTTAGTGCTCCCAACAACTACCGGCATAGGTGTGACATGGACATTAAACATGATCTTTGTTTTGTCCATATTCATCTTAAGACCTATCCGTTGGGAAACACTATTGAGGTCATTGAGCATAGTGCTTAGGTCCTCCAGCGATTCTGCTATAAGGACTATATCGTCGGCAAATCAAAGGTGAGTGATGTACTCGCCATTGATGTTGATACCGTATCCTTTCCAGTCCAGAAGCTTGAAAACGTCTTCCAATGCAGCGGTGAAGAGTTTCGGGGATATGACGTCACCCTATCTTACACCTCTCTGCAATTGGATAGGTTTCGTACTTTGGTTCTGTTCTCGGATAGCCATCGTAGCCCTACTGTACAAGCACTTCAACACTTCGATATACCGACAATCAACTTGGCACCGCTGAAGGGACTGCAGCACCGCCCAAATTTCGACGGAATCAAAGGCTTTCTCATAGTCCACATACGCCAGACATAGTGGCAAATTACTCTTCGGACTTCTGTACAACTTGCCGAAGGGTATGTATGTGATCTATGGTGCTAAAGCCCTTTCGGAAACCGGCTTGTTCGGGAGGCTGGAAGTCGTCAAGTCTGCGCGCGAGACGATTCGTAATGACTCTCGAAAACAGCACGTAGACGCGGCTCAGAAGGGAAATCGGTCTGTAGTTCTTCAAGAGAGCGTTGTCACCTTTCTTGAAAAACAAGACCACCGCACTTCTGCTCCACGCCTCCGGTGTAATGCCACCATGGAGGACGGAATTAAAGAGCTTCTGAAGGACTTCAAGTACCGGTTTTCCACCCGCTTTCAGAAGCTCCGGTCTAATTCCATCCTCGCCTGGGGCCTTACCGTTTTTAAGGTGCTGGAGAGCCATTCTAATCTCGCTCAGACTGACGTCCGGGATATCTTCAGAATAGTGTCGGATGAGACTCGCTCTTGGATCGTTACTCACACTTGCGTGTGGCTCCAACGATGACGTGTACAGCTGCCCATAGAACCTCTCAATCTCACTCAAAATCTCAGGTGTACCGGAAACGATGCTGCCACATTCCGTCTTCAGATTTGACAGTTGGCTCTTTCTGGCAGACAGATCTCTGGCAAAGACTTTGGAGCCTTGGTTCCGCTCGATCGCTTCTTCAATACGAGCTGTATTTAGTATGTTATGTACGTTCGTCATATTTTTGTGAAATTAAAGATAAACTATTATCATTGACATAAAATCAAACATCTGTCAACATCTGAAAGTTATCTTATCGGACTTAACTGTAAAACCGCAATTGTATTATTTCTATCGTTAGTGTAAAGTTCGGTACATTAGCATCATGTTAGTGCTAAGTTTGTTTTCTGTATATATTATCACAGGAACTTGGGGTCAAACTCCTGAAGTTCCAAGTATAACTATTGGCCAAGGAATTGTAATAGGATCTATTTCATCCGTCGGAGATTATTTCGAATTTTATGGAATACCATACGCAGACTCTGTATCCGGATCAAATAGATTTAAGGTATGAGAATTATTTATTTTTTATAAAATCATGACAACTTATTATAAATCCACTTTTTCACATACTATACGGGGAGTCCCCCGTATATTATATATGCCGTAGTTGCCACACACCGCAATTTTTTTTGTTTTTTATTTTAATATTCTACTAAGCTTATCTAGATGCCATTGTTCTTTTTCTGTTTCACAAAGATAAAAAATACCAATTTTTTTTCTTATGTTTCTTCATTTTGAGCTCGTATAAGTCTACCGTTAGACTTGAACCTCTCCCGTTGTAGAATTAGACATAATCACCACGCTTAGCGATTATAGTACAAAACTCTTAAGTTTATTATAGCTCTTCTTAGGTTGTTTTTTACTGCCAAGATGGTTTTATTATCAAAATGGGTCAAGGTTTGACCACAAACTAACTTGACTGTAAGTAGTAAATACGCACTGAAGATGGTAACCAGGTAAGTCTAGGAGAAATCTTTTCATTCAGACTTAGATTAGATGGAATAAGTTGATAATGAAGTAGTTGCTACATTTCAAGTTAAATCCTGCTTTGAAGGTTATTTAATATTTGTAATCAAATGATAAACGTGGACACTTACAGTCTACCTGATAGTAAGTACATGCTATGAACCATATATAGTCACTTGCATCAATCATCGAGTTAAGAATCAAAATGGACATTTCTTTCATATTCATTCTATAATGGTCTTCGGTTCTTTACACTTACCGTACGAAATATATTAGAGGTACGTAAGTCCGAGTTCAACCCAGTGACCAGGTTGGGACAGGGCTAGACTTCACAATAAGTTTATCAGCAGTAGAACCAAAGTAATACATATAATCCATTGGATCAGTAAACTAAAGTGATAATGCGCCAGTCATACAGCTCGAAAAACCGACAACCGATGGGGAAGATAGGTTTTAGAGTGGCAATCTCGTACGATGTGTAACGTGGCACCCCAGTAGATTGAATAATGACCTGGTAAAAGATGCAGGACTTGCATCTCTTACCATCAGGTGGACTGTGTGCTTTGTGGTATTTCTTGTGGGAGGTATATATTGAGCAGTAGACTTGTGACTGTTGTAATGATGATGTTAATAATGTGAGAGCAGGATTTTTACCCAGTCGAGCCGAACCATTCATGCCGCAATCAAAATACAACTGCAGCATGGCCATACCATCTAAAAAAATTAATAAATATAAATGAACTATGATAAAGGCTATTTTTCTAAGTGTGTATTGTAATTTATTATAAAAAATACTATCAAGTTGAATTAATTTAACCGAGTAAATGAGAGTGGCTGCATAAGAAAATTTACTACACCATATTATAATAAAAAAATGCGTGAGTGTCATGGAGCACTCGGTTGGAACGGAGTTCCTTGCGTAGTATATTATCATTGATAAACGTAGCTATTATATTATTGATTAACAAATACAAATAAATGAATCACTAGCGTCTATTAAAATGAAGCGTCATTTGAATATTTCTTTCATGGCAAGATAAGAAAAGGTGCGATGGAGATGGATATTATTCCATCTCACTTCCTTATTTCGCCGCCAAGGCCGTCTACACTATGACACAAGGGGTAGTGACGAAAAAATCTTACGCTTTTTGTCGCCTAGCTCCCGTCCGCCAAACCCGTACCGTCCGATAAAGAACTTCGTTCCAAAAAAATCGGTAGTCAACCCACCTGCCAAGCGTGGCAGCTATGTCATATGCGAGCTCCCAAGGCTATATATGGGGGAGATCTATTCAGCTGTGGACTTTTGAAAGGTTGTTGTTGAGGTGTTGTTATAAAAAGTGAAAGTGAAAAATGGGTCTTTGGATACTTCCGAATGCAATATTTGCGAAACATACTCGTATATCTATTATTTTTTTTTTATAGGAGAGGGGGCAAACGAGCATGCGGCTCACCTGATGGTAAGTGACTACCGCCGCCCATGAACAACCGCAACACCAGGGGAGTTGCAGATGCGTTGCCGGCCTTTTAAAAAGGAGTAGGCTCTTTTCTTGAAGGTCCCTAAGTCGTATCGGTCCGGAAAAATCGCTGGTGGTAAACTATTGCACAAGGAAGTTGTGCGAGGAAGAAAACATCTTCTAAATCGCACAGTGGTGGACCGCCAATCATCCAGATGGTGTGGATGGTATCGGGAGTTCTGCCGCGATGTGCGTTCGTGAAATTTGGCGGCTGGGATTAATCCGAACAATTCCTCAGAGCACTCCCCATGGTAAATGCGAAAGAAAATGCTAAGAGATGCAACATCTCTTAGCATTTTCTTTGCCAGTGCCAATGAGTCGAGCCGATCGGAAAGGACTCGGTCGTCGACGATTCGAGCCGCTCTGCGCTGGATGCGGTCAAGTGGAAGAAGCTGGCACTGGGGAGCCCCAGCCCAGAGATGGGAACAGTATTCCATGTGAGGCCGAACCTGCGCCTTGTAAAGTTGCAGGCGTTGAGCCGGCATGAAATACTGTCCCGCTCTGCTGAGCACGCCAAGCTTTTTAGAGGCCAATTTGGCCTTCTCTTCCAAGTGACCACGAAACTGCACGCTACTCGATATGTCGACGCCGAGGATTCCGATACTGGCTGAGGCAACAAGGGGAGTACCTTGAAACTGAGGAGATACGACAAAGGGGTTCTTTTTAGCGGTAAACGCGCAAACTTGTGTCTTCTGAGGATTAAACTGGACTAGATTTAGTCGCTCCCAATCCGAGACTTTGTCCAGCAAAGACTCGACTTCAGACACAAGTTTGTTCCGGTACTCGGTGACGTTTTCCCGAGAAATATTGGCACGGCCGGTGTATAGAGCATCACCAGTGCTGTCATCTGCATAGCAATGAATGCTACCAGCTTGCAACATATCATTGATATGCAGAAGAAACAGCGTTGGTGATAGCACGCAGCCTTGTGGAACACCAGCGTTAATAGGCTTGTAGTCGGAGCATGCACCGTCTACAACGACCTTGATGCTCCGATCTGCAAGAAAGCTGGTGATCCAATTGCATAATTTCTCGGGAAGCCCATAGGAAGGGAGCTTCGAAAGAAGCGCTTTGTGCCAAACCCGATCGAAGGCCTTCGCAATGTCCAAACTAACGGCCAATGCCTCCCCCTTGGACTCTACTGCCAACGCCCATTTATGAGTTAAGTAGACCAGAAGATCACCAGCTGATCGACCCCGACGAAAACCGTACTGGCGGTCACTAATCAGCTGGTGATCCTCAAGCTACCGCATGAGGTGGCAGTTTACAACGGATTCCATTATTTTGGAGAACAAGGGGGTGATGGCGATAGGCCTGTAGTTGGACGGATCTGAGCGGTCGCCTTTTTTAGGGATCGGGTGGACAAAAGCTGTCTTCCATGATTTCGGGACTACGCCTAGGGAGTAGGAGTACCGGAAAAGACGCGTTAGAACCGGTGCCAACTCCGGAGCACACGTCCTCAGCACAATTGGGGGGATTCCGGATTATTTGTATAAATTAATGTTTATATAATAAATATTATTAGTATTATTACATACCAATAAATTTTTGATTATGAAGCCACCTGCATTTAAATTCCCCATTAAAGTGTACTAATTTGAGGATAGATCGGGACTATTCACTATATAGTGTCGATCTATCCTCAAATTAGTACATGAAGAGTATAAGGAGTTTACGCGTACACTTACGATTATATAAAAAAATACTGCAATATCTAATCAGATTGCCAAGTATAGCCCTAAAATTGGAGAGGTACATGACTAGCAATTGACTTATTGGGGCTGAATAGGGCGATTTTTTATAAAATAAGAGTGACAAACGAGGACATAGTCCATCCGATGGTGAGAGTATGCTGCGGCCCATAGACATCTAGGTAAATTGATTCTCGATTAGGAATCAAAATGTAGATGCGTTGTCGCCCCTGAGAGTGAATAGACAGGACTGAGATGAACTACTTCATTTACAGTAAAAAGAGGTCACCGGTTTTCTACACTTACTATACGAAGCATAGCAGCATTTCGCTGCTATCTTACGCCGGTATTCTGTGAAATCGTGATCCATCCCTGGCCGAGTCGAACTTTTTGTGCTACAACCATAATATAACTGCAGCTCGGTTCTACCCTATATATATAACAGATGTAGCTATTATGAATTTAGTGATCTGCTGTTACATTTAGTACAGTTATTATTTTAAAACATGAGCACAATTCACCATAATATGTGATGATTACTTAAATTCTGGTTTTTTAGAAAACCTTAATTGATAATTAGATATTTTTAATGTAGTTTATTACTAAACTAAATGTATTAATAAACAGTATAGACTAAAATTTATATTTTTGCAGGCACCATCGCCACCACCAGCCTTCCAAAGTCCATTTATTGCCAACAGAAAAGATATCAAATGCGTTAGACCATTAGGTGTAGGATACGAAGGAACAGAAGATTGCTTGGTGGCAAATGTCTTTACGCCAACCATTAATAATGCATCACTATTACCCGTTATGGTGTGGATAAAAGGCAAAGAATTCGATAAAGTTAACGAACACAAATTCTCTTTTAGGAGTTTTATGGATAAGAACGTGGTAATTGTATCATTAAATTATCGTGAATCAGTCTTAGGATTTCTCTGTTTAGGTACAGAAGAAGCCCCGGGTAATGCTGGCTTAAAGGACATAATTGCTGGTTTGAATTGGGTTAAACATAATATTGTACGATTTGGTGGAGATCCAGATAATATAAGTCTTTTTGGTCACGGCAGTGGAGCAGCTGCAGTAGATTTAGTTTCTTTGTCACCTATGGCAAAAGGACTCGTACATAAAGTTATAGCTCAAAGTGGTACTGCATTAGCACCGTGGGCAGTTACACGCGATAACTTAAAATATGCCTTAAAGGTTGCAGAGGGTCTTGGACATTCTGTTAATAGTATCCAAACTCTTACCGATGCCTTTAAAAGGGCAAGTATTGCAGCTTTAATGGCTGTTATTAATGAGCTTGATCTCACAGATAATTCATTGGCATTTGCTCCATGCATAGAAAAGGATAATTTAGAAAGTGTTGAGCCGTTTCTCACGAAATCCCCATATCAAATATTAATCGAAGACGATTATCTAAATATACCATTCATGACTGGTTTTGTTGATTACGAAGGAACTATAAGAGCTGAAGAATCAATAGAGAGTAAATGGTTAGAAAAAATGGAAGAGTCATTCATTGATTTTATTCAACCAGATTTAGATTTAGGAAAAGGTGATGAACAAGATATTGACGTAGTCCAGGCTATAAAGTCATTCTATTTTAGAACAGAACCTATAAATATGTCTCAAATGGATAACTTCTTTTCATATCATGGGGACACTATGGTTTTGGTTTCTGCAATAAGAGAAGCTCGCTTACGTGCTAACACATCTAGCAGTCCTATATATCTTTATCAATTTTCGTACAAAGGCATGTTAGAAAACCCTTTTGTTGGACCTGCAGTTGTAAATGGTACAGCCCACAGTGAAGAACTAGCCTACTTGTTTTACCATGATTCTGATGTAACACAGACTGAGATGGATTCAACTGTAAGCGAAATTTTAGTGGAACGTTGGACAAACTTCGCTAAAACCGGGTATGTATTTCTGAAAATTATTAAATTAATGAAAGAGAGCATTAAAATTTTTAGAATTTAGTACTATAATAAGTCATTTTAGTGATAATAGCCGCTTTTTTATTTATATATTTATAATATTTAATTAATTAACAAGACTTGAAGCGTTAATTCTCTCGGGACAAAAAATCTAAAAAAGAAATAACCAATACTCCTTGTCTCTACTAATAAATTCATTGTATAATATGTAAAGAATTGCAACACATGGCATACTTATTAAAAAAAGATCCAGAAATGAAATCAAAAATGCAGCTCTAATTCTATTTCATTTATTCTTTGACAATTTTGGTAAAAGTGATAAAATACTTTTTTTATTTACACATTTTTAGAACACCGGGGACTGAAGTGTCTCAAATAGAATGGAAACCGTTTTCTATTGAAAGTAATAACTTTTTAAGAATTCTCGATGACGAAGAGGTGAATGTAGATCAGGGAGGAAGTCTGGAGGTGGATTTAATAAATCCCCATCCTGAAACAATGATATTTTGGGATCAAATATACAGTGAGCACTTCGTTGATGCTAAAGGTAGGTGGGTTCTTGAAGAAAGAGTTGAAGAAGGTGAAGAAGACGTTGCTGTTGATGAAGGAAGTGGTGAAGAGCAAGGTAGCGAAGATAATGATGAGGATAAGGAAGAGGAGGAAGGCGATAATGAAAACGATGGAGACAACGAAAGCAATGATAATAATTCAGCAACAACGATTTTCGGTTATACATTTCTTATGGTATGAATTTATGCATTATTAGATAAATTTCATATGTGGCAGTTGATGTCTTAATCAATTAATGTTACTAGAGATTAATGCACCAATGAAAAAAAAATACTTATTTGAGTTTCTACAGTGAAATTCAATTAAAGTTGCGCAGTTATTTTTAGAATTATATGATATTTTATGTTCGTTACCTTTCCAGGTAATGCTTGATAGAATGTTTACTAACAGTTTATAGTAACTTTAACTTAATTAACTATAGTATGTTAATTAAATAAGAATTTTTAAATTGATTATTTTACTTATACTTTTTTCAAAAATTTTCCTTTTTTAATATGAATAGTATTTGGTAACATTCTACGTATGAACCTGACATTATTTTATTGTAGCAATAGCACCTTAAATATTAATAAAGAGTTGTAAGTTGGCAAAACCTAAATAATTTTGTACAATAATATTGTAAGCGTTGAATCTGCTAGTATATAATTATATTTACTCACAAAAAATATCATTAATTTACACAACATAAAGAAAATCTTCCTTGGAATCATCATCATCATCAGTTACAGCCCTTCATAAGTCCACTGCTGAACATAGGCCTACCCCAAGGAATGCCAAAAAGCACGATCCTGAGCCACCTGCATCCATCGACTTCCCGCTTGTCTCACCAGGTCGTCACTCCATCTAGTGGGGGGTCGCCCTACACTTCGCTTACCGGTACGAGGCTGCCACTCGAGGACCTTTGAATATTTCATCTCTATTGTATTGAAGTCTATATGCCCAAAAATGACTATCTTTGGATATACACAAACCGGCAAAGCATTGGGTTATCAGAAGTATTTGCACATAGTGAACATGATTTTTATAAATACTTATTTAAAAAAAATACAGTATCATATAGTAAAGTAATCGCCTTCGGAATACAGGATCCTCTAGTCAATGAAGTCAGAGCGCGAATTCCTTGACGATAAAAATTCTCACTTTTTTTGACTGAAAGAATATTTTCAGGTACTCTTTAATATCCTTCGTGTTTAAAATTGTTTGTTATTCACTTCAATAAGAGGAAGTGGGTTTGGTAATATTTTCCAATTAAATTTTAATAAATAATTTATTACGTGTGTTTTTGCAACATGTACCTTCATTGTGAAGATAATAAATGATATATGATTTTCCTTTATACTATCAGTTGTGACTGTGCTGTCATCGTCTGATTTTTAGGCACTTCATCAAACATGATTACTCATTTAATGTCTCCCTCTTGATTTCGGACTAGGTTTGGTGGTTATACTTTTACCCACCCACTATCTTAAGGTACCATTCCGTAGCCGACCGCAGACAGCAGCAGCAGACGACGTGTCGTCGCGACACTACTGGTTTCTATGAAGTTCTATGAAATACCTCCCGTTGCTAGCGACACGTCGTTTGCCGAAGCGGCAGACGACATGTCGCCCGACCGCAGATCAGTAGTGCCGTCAACAGCCGAGCGACATGTTGAATTTTTCTCAAAAAATGAGTTTCACCGATTCCGTGGAAGAGAAACTGATAAACCAGGTGGGCCAATATCCCGCACTGTACGATGCATCTCACAATAATTATTTAAACAGTGTGACAAAAGGAATTTTTTGAAAAAATCTAGGAAAGGAGTTAAATAAAAGCGGTAAATAGGTATATATATTTATATATAGCACAGAACATTCTGAACAGATTGGAACAAATGCTGCTGCCGCCTGCAGTCGGATTCGGAATTATGACCGCAGCGACGTGTCGTCGCGACGCGTCGAGACGTCACGTTTCGACCTCACGTCGCCTGCTGTTGCTGTCGGCTACGGAATGGTACCTTCATGTAATTATATGGTAACTACTGTCAGAATTCTACGCTTAGCTGTAAGTGCCCTACGATAATTTATTCAAAACTAAACCACTTTATTTCTATACTTTTCTTAATGCAGCCAAATGTTGCGTGATCAAAGCCAAAGCTATGAATGCTTTTCAACCAGTGGAAGCAATCTGTCCGTTATCATACCCCAAGGAATGACCAAGGATCAAAATTTATCTTTGAGCTTGTTTTTCCTGTTTAAATTAAAAAGAAAACCAATCGATCACTGTATTTAGGCTTATCTCATTTTACTAAATGCTTGTCGTATTTCCTTAAAAGATACACTAGCATTAAGGCCAAAATGAGTCGTAAATTATGCAGCAACATAGTTCACGCCTAGTATTAAAATTCTCGAACATTATCTATACAAATAAATAAAATTGAAGTGTCTGTTTGTAATGTCAATATAACGAATAATAATGAAAAGCTATCTTTTGCCTTAATGAATATGAAATATAGTTATATAATTATAAAAATATAATAATACAGTGATCATAACAAAAACACAATTTTTAACATTTTTGCCGATTTTGACTGGACTTTCACTGGCAGATAGCTAATATTATAAAGAGTAACTTTGGTTACTTTTATTTTAGAAAAGGAATTAGGGTACCGTGGAAAAAAATTAAAGCCCCTAAAATCCAATCGTAGTAAATTCCACGCGGGTAAAGTCGCGGGCAACAGCTAGTTAGAAGCTTTTGATTATTGCTGCGAGTATAGCTAACAACTTATTGATTTATGTACGATGCTGGCATCCTTACACGGCCATTATTTACTTATTATAAGCCAGTGCTTAACTACAATTGGTGGTAGTAAGTGGTAATGAATCCCTTGGTGATAAATCGGACTATCTTTGCGTAACAAAAGCCGTTAACATTTTAATGCGCAATACTGCAACAACCCAATATTTATATAAAGTAATAATTACTGCATAATTATACTTTTTACATATTTAAATTGGATGGATATAGGCCAATTTGTTAGACGTGTAAAGTTGCGTGCTGATGAAGCGTGAAAGTTCAGTTGGGTCACGACGCTCGTATGCTGATACGGAGGTCAGAAGGTCAGGTGGTGCGCTTATGCGTTTTATGCAAACAAGCGACCGTGGGCGGCTTGAATGTCATACGGACACTTTTAGATCCACTGTATACTTCTTTATGTTAAAAATGAGACTGAAAACTGAGAGGTATATCTTACACGTCCTTGATAAAATCTACTATAATACTTACTTAATCTATATTCTGTCTTAAAAAAGTTTCAATCATTCAAATTCAGAATTCGAAAAGATTAAGTAGCAAATAATAAATATTGTACATAATAAATGTAGTATTTTTAAGTTTTACATCTCTAAAATATTACAAATGTAATCTTAAGATAATAATAATGTGCTCCAGACCGAATTTCGGCCACGGCGGCCAGTCTCAACGGAGACTAGCCATCGGCGCAAGACAGGATTATAGTGGCCAAGTGTATGCGCAAGCACAGGTGCACTCTATTCCCTCACTCTCATAGTCCGATGGGACGGTAAACCGACACGACCGGAGAGAGATCAGGCGCAGGACCAACGGCTTTACGTGCTTCCCGAGGCACGGGGGTGAGACACCGCCAACTTCCTAACTCCGGGCAGATACTGAGAATTTCTTGATGGAAAAACTCAATAACTGATTTTTTGATCCGACCCGGGATTCGAACCCGGGATCTCTAGACCAACGAGGCAGTCAAAAAATAATATGAATTAAGATTTTTTATTATTAATTAATTTTACTAAATATAATAAATGACTTTAACTTACAATTAATTAAAAAAGTAGATTCATTGATAATTAATTATAAAATGGTAATAAAAATGATGAATTCAGGTTCCAAAATTCTAATTGCTCGTGCTTTATTCCATTATAACTGGATCAATCATTGAAGTATCAGTAGTTTCTTCGATCAGTGTTGTTTTACTGACCTCATTCGTTTATTAGTTACAGCCTACCATCAGTCTCCTGATGAACAGTTTATTTGTTTTTTTTTGCCGTTTATTTGCCATAGTTGCCACGCTTGACAGGCAGGTTAGCAATCACAGGTTTCTATTATATTGAGTTATATTATACTATATATATATATATATATATATATATATATATATATATATATATATATATATATATATATATATATATATATATATATGTATATATATATATGCTGTGGCCTATTACTTTTATTTATCCTTGATTGAGAATAAAATGCAGATGCGTTAGCACTCCTGAGGACTAAGATGGAATGCCTCCTTACTAGTAAAAAGGTTCTCCATTTCTCGTCTCTCACTACAACATTTTGGCGATATTCAAGTTGGTGCTGGTGTGCAAGAATGTTCATTCCCTAGTCAAGGCGACCCATTTGTGCTGCAGCCATAATAGGCGTTAATTTTTTTTACTTATCTTCACGCACAATCCCTGACGGGGTAGCCAGAGAGAACAGATCGCCAAGTGTCACGATCCTTACATATCTCTTTCGCCTCTTTCAGATTCATTATCTTCTTCATACATGCACGTCTAAGTATCCGAGTACTCTTGACCCTACCCTCTTCGAGCAATTTGCTCACATGGTCTTCGAAAGTTAGTCTCGGTCTACCTCGACACCTTTTAATATTAACTTTCGCGCTATATATTTTCTTCACCATTCGGTCTTCACTCATTCGCTCAACGTGCCCAAACCACCGAAGCACGCCCTTATCAATTTTTGTGATAAGGTCATCTTTCAAACCTGCCATATTGCGAATCTCTTCGTTTCGCTTTCGGTCGGCCATAGTAACGCCGCACATTTTACGAAGAGATCGCATCTCCACTGCATTCAACTTACTTTTATGCTTCTTCTGGCATACCCAGGTTTCGCTGCCATATAACAAAGTCGGTACCAACACTGCGTTATGTATTGCAAGGCGTGCACTCTTCGCTACGCCTTGCCTTTTGACTAACGCAGTCAGGGCACCATTGACTTTGTTCCCGGCAGCGACACGCCTGTCCACATCTAAATCACATCTTCCATCCCGGCTAAAAGCACTCCCCAAGTATACAATTTCATTTACCTGTTCTAGACATTCCTGATTTACCCATATTTCACACTTCGTTCTCTCTTCGTCCCTTTCAAATACCAGA